CTGGGTGACGGGGTAGGGTTGGGTCACGGGCCGGGCTGGACGGTCCCAGGGGTCTTTCCCGACCTTGTTGGTTGTGTGACTGCAACACCAGTGACATCCCCGGTGACCCCCCGGTGTCCCCCCATGTCCCCCCGTCCCTACCAGGGCTGCCGGGTGGTGCTGGACCCCCCAGTGACTCCCCAGTGACCCCCAGTGACCTCTCGGTATCCCCCCATCCCTGCCAGGGGTGCTGGACCCCTGGTGACCCCCCGGTGACCCCTTGGCGTCCCCCCCATCTCCACCAGGGCTCCCGGAGCAGGTGGTGCTGGACCCCCCAATGACCCCCCGGTGACCCCTTGGTGACCCCCAAGTGACCCCCCAGTGACTCCTTGGCATCCCCCCCATCCCTGCCAGGGCTGCTGGGTGGTGCTGGACCCTCCGATGACCCCCCAATGTCCCCGCGATGACGCCCTGGTGATCCCCTGGTTGACCCCCAGTGACCCCCAGTGACCCCCCGATGACCCCCTATTGTCCCTGTCCCCCCCAGGTCTCCCAGACCGGGTGGTCCTGGACCCTGTGCCCCCCGTGGCCGTGGGCGACAGCCTGAACGTGACGTGCCACGTGCTGGAGGTGGCACCTCTGGGCAACCTGACGGTGACCCTGCGCCGGGGGGCCGAGACCCTTCGCACCCAGAGCTTCGGGCACGGCCCGGGGGGCAGCGCCAGCGTGGCCGTGGGGCACCTGCTGCCCGTCACCCGCGGCGACCACGGCCAGGATGTCACCTGCCACGCCGAGCTGTCCCTGCGCCCGCACGGGCCCCTCTTTGCCCGCGCCGCCGCCCCCGTCACCCTCTCGGTGTTCGGTGAGTGCTGGGGGGGTCTGGGGGGGCTCCGTGGCACTGTCGCTGTCCATGGGTGGTGGTGTGGTACCGTGGCACTGTCACCATCCACGGGGACATTGTTGTCACCCTCCTGGTGCTGCTGTGGCACCACGGGGGCGTGGGGAAGGGTTTGGCCACCAGGATCGTGCTCCCGGCCTTGGGGACATGGCACAGCCCTGGTGATGCCACATCTCCCTCCCCTGGGGCCTGGGGAAGGGTTTGGCCACCAGGATCCCCTGCCTGGTTCTGGGGACATGTCACAGTCCTGGGGACACCACGGCGCCAGTGACACCGTGTCCCCACCAGTCCCTGGTGAGGGTCTGGCCACTGGGGTCCTCTCCCTGACCCCAGGACGTGTCACACCCTTCTGGTGCCACCACATAACCCCCCCCCCCCCCCC